GCCTTTAATTAGGGACAGCCATAAAAGGCTATTCCAGATATTTTGGACTTCAGTAGGGCTGGGGCAATAAAAGATCACAGCCAGATAGCAGATCTCTGTTCTGTGGAATGTGGAAGGCCTGGCAAATTACTAACTGAAGGCCTGTATTTGCTCTGAACTGGGGGGGGGACAAGAGAATGCTATTTTTAATATTTAGACTCAGACCCCATTTATCATCACACCAAGAAGGTCCTGAAATGGGCAAACAATTCTTGTATAGCCAACTCATCATCTTTGGGCCGTGATGTGAATAATAGAACGTCGTCCGCAAAAAGTGTGATACGGAGTTCCGCGTTACCTATTCGTATACCATGTAGATCATGGGAGTGCAATATGTGTGATTCCAAACGTTCAAGAGAGAGGTTGAAGAGCAGGGGAGACAAGGGGCAGCCCTGTCTTGTTCCCTTCTCCAGGACCAGTGGCAGGGACAGAGCTGACTGAGTCAGAATCCTTGCAACTGGTGAGACGTACATTTGTCGCAATAAAGAGAGAACTCGACCCTGAAAGCCAAACTTCATGAGAACCCGGAACAGCCAGCCCAGGTCCACGTTGTCAAATGCTTTTTCAGCGTCAAGTGTTATTATGGCCGCCGCCCTCGAGGGGCGGGCACGTGCTTCCTCCACGGCCATCAGTACCCTTCGGAGGTAAGTTACTCCCGACCATCCTTTAACAAATCCCACCTGAGCTGGCTGCACCAGGGTAGGCATGATATTGGCCAACCTATTGGCTATGATTTTAGAGAGAATTTTTGCATCCACATTTAGTAACGAAATCGGCCTATAGGCACTCGGATCGGTGGGGTCTTTTCCCTCCTTGGGGAGCAATTTAATATAGGCTTCTTTCCCAGTAGTTGGGTAAGGCTCCAGATTGAGTTATATAGAGAGTGGAGAGAGTCCACTATATCTAGATGCATCAGTCTGTAGAAATCCGCTGTGTATCCATCAGGACCCTGTACTTTACCCTTGCATAGATTTTTAATAGTGGACGTTATTTCTTCCTGGGAGACTTGTGCATTAAGCGATGACAACTGGTCAGGGGACAGGCACGGGAGTGTCACCGAATCTAGGAGATTTTGATGCTGCCCCCTCATCAATGTCATCAGTCGAGTAAAGAGAACTATAAACATTTTCTAAGATCTTATTGATTGCTATAGGGTCCCTTTCCAATGCTCCAGAGGGATTAGCCAAGAGCTTACCCACCTTGTTGCCAAATTTATGTATACTAAGTGTAGAATACGAAGAGTGGATGGCCTCCTGTCTCTGTGCCCATAAGTCAAATAGTTGTTTGGCTTGTTCCCACTCTATCCTGGTATGATGGAAGGGAATTGACAATAAGTCTTGTTTGGCTTTCCGCAGGCGAGTACTGCCTGTCCGATAGTTTTGCAAGGTCTTTTTCCTATAAGCCGCGGAATACGAGATAATTCTCCCTCTCATGTAGGCCTTGGCGGCCTCCCAGAATAGAGGTGGGGTGGATGTATGACTTCGGTTATAGGAAGTATAATCATTCCATGTTGTCAACAGGAAACTGGAAAAGTCTGTATTATAGGCTAGGCAGGAGGGAAAGCGCCAAATGTGAGCATTCGCCGCCGTTGGGATGCATTTCTAAATGCACAGAATATAACTGGATATTAACATTTTATAAGTAATGACCAGAGATTGTTGATGCCCGGAATATCTGATTGCCTTTTGGGGAGCAGGAAAGGCGTTTTTTTTTCCTGTTGGAGCAAAAAAAAAAGGGTTTTTGCTTTCATCTTGATCAGCTGTGGTAACTGTAAGCATACGGTTGTGTTTATATTTTATGTTTTATATTTATTCATTTTTTTTCTCACTACTGTGTGAACTCTGGACTTTTTTTCTTTTTTCAGCCTGATTAACTATGTAACTATAATCCTAACTGCTGCAATTGTTAAGCTGTGTTGTACATTGTATACTCTTATCCGCTATCCCTGAATATTGCACTATACATTATATAATTCTGAACCCGGCTCTCTTTACACTATAAGTGGTATATATTAGGGATGCACCGACAGCGGTGCCGATTCCGAGTATTTGGGCGAGTACTCATACTTGCCCAAATGCTCCAATACTTACCTCCGATACCGGAACTTCCGGTCAGAGGAAGACCGCCTGTGCCGAGGGAGCATGGAGCTGGCTGTCTTTCCAATCTAAAAGCTGGGTGGTGGGTTATTAGGAAGTCAGCTTCATATGTTGCTAAGCAGCCTGGCTTCCTAACCAATCAGGTTAGGTCAGGTCAGATTGGTCAGGAAGCCAGGCTGCCTAGGAACAAGTGAAGCCAGCTTCCTATCCAATCTGGAAGCTGGTAGGCTGGTCATGAGGTGCTGCTGATTGGCTAGGAAGGAGTAGCCTGGCTTCCTAACCAATTAGGAAGCCGGGTGTCATGTCATGACTCACTTCCCAGCTTCCTGATTGGTCAGGAAGCCATGCTGCCTAGAAACAAGTGAAGCCAGCTTCCTAGCCAATCAGGAAGCCGGGAGGTGGGTCATGACGTGCTTCCCGGCTTCCTGATTGGCTGGGAAGCTGGCTTCACCTGTTGCTAGGCAGCCTGACTTCGTGACCAATCAGGAAGGCAAATGGCACCTCATGACTCGCCGCCTGGCTTCCTTATTGGTCAGGAAGCCAGGCAACCTCTGAAGCCAGTGTCACGTACCTTAGGGGAGTCTGAGTTGACGAGGGCAGCCTCTCTCACAGCTCCGGTCCTGGAGCACCTGGATTGGTTACAGGGGCGCCGGGGCACAGAGGGGCAAGGGTGCCAGAGGCTGGTTAGCCTGTTGCGCCTGCGAGATGAGATGAAGTGCGTAGATCCGGCCAGGAAGCAGGATGCGGATGCACCGAAGAGGATCCAGAAGGCTTTAGATCCGATGAGCTGAGGAAGCTGGAAGCAGAACACACAAGGCAGAAGGATCGTCGAGCAGGCCAAGGTCATCAACGAGCTAGCAACACAGTACAAGGGGTGAGGCAGAATCAAGGTCAAAAACAAGCAGGGAGCAAGCAACAACAGAGAGTAGTCCAAGCCGGGTCAGTAACGGGTAATCAGGATACAGAAAACACAGGAACACAGAACACAGGAAGCTGACGATCTGACAGCATGGGAGGATAGCTGAACACAGCCTTTATAGCCCAGTTGGCGCCAATTGTTCAAATGACACGTCGGCGCGTGCCCAACACGCACGAACGTGAGCGTGACGCGCACGTACGTGCGCACGTCCATGCACAGACGCTGCTCCTATTATGGCTCTATGGTCCACAACAGGCGCCTGCGCATTCGCAGACGGCGACACTCGAGCTCTGGCTCTGGCTTTCTGACAGCCAGTGTTCTTTTGCTAGAACACCGTCTTCACTGGCAATCAGGAAGCTGGGTGACAGGTCATGATCCGCCAGCCAACTTCCGGATAATTGGGGGCACAGGGCACCGATACTCAGTACTCGGTATCGGCAAGTACCAAAAAAAAATATCGGTACTTGTACTCAATACTGAAAAACAGGTATGTTACATACTCCCGACCACTGCACTCTGTAAGCTGTGTTGTTCAAAGCACGCACCTGACTTCTGCTCTCCCAGCATACACAGTTGTGAGGATTATGTAACATATAGCCCTAGTGGTCAAGAGTATGTAAAGTGTAGTAGAGGATACAGAATTTAGAGCTTGGCAATATGTAATGTACAATCCATTGTACTGAGTGCAACATTCAGGAGTACATTCCAGGAGTCAGGAGTATGTAATGTACAAAGTTTGTTACAAAATCCTGACCACTACATCCTGCATGCCATGCCATACGTTACATACTCTTGACCACTGAACTCTGCAAGCTCTCCTGTCTCTCCATACATTTCCTTCCTAGTTCCCATGCAAACTCCCGCTCAGGAAAAATCACCCCTTCCTCAAGCAACACCCTTAAAATTAACCATCCACTCCTCATCTCTGCATCCCTTATCCATGCTACCTCTGTGCCCCCCATCCATAGCTCACCTCTGCACCCCTCCCTTGGTCCATATCGCACTTCTGCTTCCCCACTCCACAGCTCACCTCTGAACACCTCCACAGCTCATATCTGCTCCCCTTCCACATCTCACTTCTAGCCCTCCTCACACGATCAAAGCCCTCCACAGCTTTCATGTCTGCAACCCCTCATCATCCATAGCAGTCACCTCTGCACCCACCTATCCATAGCTCTCACCTCTGCACCCAGTCTCCCCCATCCGCAGCTCTTACTTCTCTGCCCATCAACTACCCATTACACCCCAAAACCCTCCAGGGCCCACCACTCATCTTTCACCATAAGGAGGGGAACTTACAGCAGCCAGCTCAGCTCTATTGGGAAAGTGTGGTTTTGTTTTAGCGCACACTGACTTGCTGTTCTGCCTCTGTCACTGAGCAATGGTAATGTTCAAGAAAACATTGTGGGTGGCCTCACACCCAGGGCACCAGCTGAGAGATGTGGAGCATATACCCCAAGTGCGATGCCCCTGTTATATGCAAATTAACATTTTAGTATAAAATCCTAATTTGTAGTGTGTCAAATATTTGCCCAATGTGCAAGAAGTGTGATTTTAGATGATAAACAGGAATGACTGCGTCAGGTACTAATAGGTATTATTGATAGATCAATGGTTTACAGCCTTAAAATGGTGACTGTAACATTAGGCTGAAAATGGTAAATGCAGATGTGGGGTAAATGATAGTAAATTTAACTCAAGTGAATGTATGTATAAATACAGTTAGAAAAAGTAATTTGTAACTGCAACAAATCTTTAGTTACCCTAGTTAAAAAGAACTTTAAAAAACAATGTTTAAATCTACAATCAGAAATATATTTACTTAATGCATCTGTAAAATAGTTAATTGATAGTTACTGCAAGCATAACTGTACCAAGCTACTGAAAAACTCTATATACTCTACTGTATATACGTATAATAATTATATAACTCTTTAACTTTATAGGAACACCCTAACAACTTTAAACGTATTCAATCAAAATTTCAGTGGGAGCTTGGAGAAAATCCTGGTGCTAAGCCTATTAGACAAGCACGTCCTGGAGCAAAGCCTGTTATACCAGCAAAACCAAATATTTCACTTGCAAATGAACGTTTTTTCCAGAAGCCACTACCAAAAGCTATATCTTCTCCAGAATTAGTAAGCTCGCCCAAGACTGACCCTTTCAAGGCTACAGGGAGTCAGTTACAATTACACCAAAGTTTCTCATTTCGAACTAACTCTGCAAGCCATCAGGAAGCATCTCTCAAAAGACCTTCACTGCCTGTTATTAAACCTTTACCGGTGCCAAAGCCACCTGGGAACTTTTCACGTTATACAAATACTGCAAATATTCATGTTACTGCTGTAACAACTAATAAGGCAAAATTTGGAAAGTCCAACCCACCTAGGCTAAAAATTTTGCCAAGTGAAGCTGTTCTCGGACTTAAGCCAAGAAAACCAGCTCGACCTCCTTTCGTAGATCTGGAGAAATTCAGAAGATCAAACATTGACTCTGGCGATTATGTTACAATGAAAAGTTTTGCAGGTATTTTGCAATTAAATATACTATTAATGGGAGTAATATGGGTTGATAATAGTGTGGTGCTATATGCACAAATCTGCCTTAGCGCTTATAAATTAATTAGTAATGAGTGAATCACTTGCCAAACTAGGCAGATTATTCATTTTTATTAGGAATTTACAGGTATTTTCATGTTAAGTGATTGTTTGGGGTACTGGATAATTCAGTTAAGTGCTAAAGTGGACCTTCTACATAAACAGAAGGTCCGCTAACTTGCAGTCCTCCCACCCCATAAATACAAATGGCTTAAAGAAAAGCCATTCAAAAATAAAATTTGGTCTGAAAAAAAACTTCAGCTCAGCTTTTGACTCTTCCAGAAAGTGTGAGGTGGCCATACACCTTACAACTATTGTACATTGTTTTTTGTCCAGACATTGCACCCTCGTTCAATTTTCGTACAAACAGCCCATCATGCACAGACCAATGTAGTTTGTGATTAGCGTTCGTCAGCACCACTAACTGGCCGATTTTCATAGATCAAATGACCAAATTTTCGTTTGATCATGTGCAGTTTTCATCTTGAGATTTTTGTTGTACGAAAATGCCACTAACCCCTCAATTTTCGTCCAACTAGACGAAAATTTTCTAGCCTGTTTGAAAGACAAAAATCTGCCAATTGTATAGTGCACTTCCCATCAACTGGCAGATTTTTGAAGGAAACCTTAACAAGCCTCTGGGTACACAGGTGCAGGAAATCTAGCAAGAATATACTCTTGCAATAGGTTGAAGCAGCTTTTTGCAGGATGCTTCTGAGGAGGTATCAGTGAGGCAGGGTGATGACACCCTTCTGTCCAAAAAGCCCTGAGGCCAAGGTATTTAAAACATTTTTTTAATTAAAACTTAATTTTAGTATTGCTTTTTTAAAGCCATTTGTATTTAGTGGGTTGTAAGTGCAGTGAACCTTCCATTTTTGTAAAGTACAACTAAGGGCTCCTATATGCCAGTCTAAACAAATACTGAATCCAGTTACTATGTGATGCACAATATGATATCTCATAATATAAACAGAAAACTTAATTTACCTTTTATGAGTCAAATTTAGCTTCATTTGTACCTAAAACGATCCCCTTCCCAGACCTGAAGCTCATGGGAATCTCAGCAACAGAGGTAGTGCTGTTAATCCAGGAAGCAGCTCATTTCTTCAGTGGTCACAATTTTTTTAAAGATTTTCAGGTAAAATTTGGACACACATTCCTTATTGGAACTGAAGGCACAAATGCATCATTATATAGATTTTAGGACCACACCATACGCTTTAAACAGCAATATACTGTATGATCAGCTAGATAACTGAATTACTTGCATGTGCTATGCAGACCTACATTCACACACTCAAGCAGGCCCACCATGTAAGCATACAATTTATCTCTGTTCTTGTTCATTTGGTTTAGTACATAAAGCCCAATGTGTTGGTTACTTTTACATGGGGAGTCAGAAATCAACTTCTTCTAAGTAAATATATAAATCTTTTTCCCTCTGTTGCAGTGTATTATAAAGATTAGTAAATCGAGAACAGAAGTGCCATACTATCATATTAAAGTCCAGATACAAGTTTATTTCAATGTATCCAAACTATTTCAGAGGCTACAGCTTTGCCCCTTTATCAGGGTTAGAAAATAACACAAAGAAAATATACATAACTGTAACATATGCATCTCATATGAATATCAGGCTGGTGAACATGGTCAAATATCGGTACAGAGCATGATAAAGTGAAGTGATTGTACATTGATAATAATCATGATAGTAATAGTGTGGATAATAGTAAAAGGACAATAATAATAATAATTATAATAGTAATAACATTAACAAAAAATGGCAGTAATAGATAAATATAATAATTGGAATTAATCAATGTTAAGGAACTTGATGTATATACAATAAATGTATAAAATTAGATATTTGATCATCATGATAAAACCACAAATGTAATCCACATAATATTAATTTAAAATAGAGGTTAATAGATCAAATACATTTAAAACCTTTTTCACCATAAATTCTCAGCTCATCAGCTTACTTTAACAGTGTTGTAGGCTGGCAAAGCGTTTGTCAGCAGCTAGCTCTAGCAGCAACCAGTTGTGCTAACAAGCTGAGCATTCATGGTGAAAAGGCACTAGCATCTATTGGCCAAAGCATATGCTTACTACCAAGTCTGCATATATTGTATTATTTTCTTAAGGTAAAAACGTTACCCAAACACATATTTATCTCTGGTCCATGTTTTATATAGGTTTTCCTCGGCTTATATTCGAGTCAATACTTTTTCCCAGTTTTTTGTGGTAAAATTAGGTACCTCGGCTTATATTCGGGACTTCTTATACTCGAGTATATACGGTATTTAATCCTTGACCCGCCATTTTAAATTAATAATATATGGATTAGATTTTTAATCATCATTAACCCCTTCATGACTGAGGCCTTTTTTTCATTTTTTTGTACCTATGTTATATTCCACATTTTAGGCCTGAAAATTACTTAAAACCCCCCAACATTATATATTTTCTGAATGCCAAGACCCTATAGAATAAAATGGTGGTAGTTGCAAAT